CAGTCGCTACTCGTCTGTCGCCATAGGACTTTTAGAGGTTTATGGATATTGATTATGATGATAAGCTTGATAAGCTGGATGATGGCTGGACATGAGTTGATTTATGTGGTGAGGTAGGAGCAAAGGCTGTAACCACACATCCTGGCTCTCCCTTTTCCTAATCCAGTGGTGCAGCTAGCCTCAACACTGGGACTGCCGATAGCCCAATTTGTTGGCCTTAATAGCCTGTTCATCTTGCATTGCCTTTACCCGCCGGGGTGCTTGTTGGGTTCCCATATTGGTTACCTCTTCCACTTATTCCTCCATTGGGGTCTTACTGTCAGCCTGATGGGAGGTTCCACTGCAGATTTATCGCCCGGGGTTTACTCCCGTAGCTTTATGCCTACCAAGGGTCAATCCACAAGACGGCAGGTCAGTGGATGGTAGGTGCCAGGGTCTGTCCATTTGCCGGTGAGCCTATGCTCAGTCCCTATGGTGCCCACTGCTGCTTCAAGATCCCCTGCTGGTCTAGCCTGGGGCCATGAGGCGCCCAATTATCGTGTGGTGCCACGAGGAGGCACACCAGGAGTCTTGATGGTGAGGAGGCAGTGTACTGTCAGGGGAATACTTATACAAGGCTGCTTCCTTATTAACCACGAGGATTAGCCAGCAGCGGTAGCTGGAAGCTAGAGGAAGCAAGCAATGCCTGCACCTTAACACAAATATAATCTTGCCAGACCATACGCCTTACACCACCCTGTGTGCACACGACGGCATGTGCTTGTCAGCGGACAAGCAACAGCTTCTTTCTCTAGAGCCTAGTGACCCACTTGATCAATTATTACAAGGCAAACCCTGCGGGTAGTGTCATAAATGGACGTATCAGATAAGTGCCGGAGCTATATTAAATGGTGATGGTAATCCCTGACAGAGCACAACGAAGGACCGTGTTAACAAGTCGTAAACACAGGGCAAAGTTCATTGTGAGTTTACACCCCCAGAAAGGGACCGATAGCCGGCCTTTTCGGTGATCCTGATCATAAACAAGAATTCCGGTTTGTCCTCAAGATTTTTTTTTTACTTAATTAAGGGATGGTGTCTCACCACCTCAGGACCATCCCCCCGAGGGGCCCACAACCCTCCCTCCCCTTATGGAAGAAATGGGGAAGACCATGACGATATGGTGTTGAGTAATCCTCTGTACATTGCTACCTGCTTAGCCCGCCAGTTCGCGAGAGTTAGCAGCTACTATAACTCTGCTTCTCGGTTCCTTTCTGAAAAGGAGAGAAGTGACAAAATGCCCCTGTCCTTTGACGGGGGGAGGAAGCAGGACTATAATCGCGAGTTTTCTGAAGACGAACTCGGTCGTGCTTTGAAATTCTGTAAAGGTATCAGTCCTGGATCGAATGGGATTATATAAGACATGCTGCAGCACCTGAGCAGGGCCGACCTGCTCAGGGTGTTCAGGGTCTTGAAAGAGATATGGACGTTGAAGGCGTTCCCGGTCTCCTGGAGATTTGAGTATGTCACACCTAATACAAAAAGGAGTGGCGACTCTAAAAACCTTGTTTTTTTCGACCTATAGTGCTCACAATTTGTCTATGTAAAGTCATGGGGAGAATGATAACACGTAGGCTTGTTTTTCTTTGAAAAAAGCCACTTTAATAATTAAGTGAATTTATAAGAACAAATAGTATCTATACCCATCTTGATTTAAAGTTAATTCTTAAATGGTTTATCATTCTTTATTATTAAGATAAAACAACAATAGAGTTAAATACTGTTGTTGAACGTGTGTGTTGCCACATCATACTCGTATTAGTAAGCTTTCCTCCTCTCGGAATATATATTAAACCTTGTTTTTTATAAAGACTGAGTTGTCTTGAGTCAGAGGTCTGGGGTTATTCGCTGCACTACACCGGATACCCCCAGCTAGTGTCGTATAAAGTAATATAATTATTGTCTATACATTTATTGTATGTATTAGCGATGTTCTCGGTTTACATCACTCCAAATCTATAACTCCAAAAGAAACTCAATTTCTATAAATTTTGTGGAAAACACTAATAATAAGACGAAAACATGGGCCTAGAATTGGCCTTTAAAGGTTCTTAGGTGAAGAAGGACGAGAACTCACACATACAGTACACACAAATCATGTTATCTACATAAGGCGCTTCAACAGCTAAGGTCTTTAAACGCGAAACAAATTATGAATTCCTCTAAGTCAGTCGACAATAAGAAATCAGGACAGATAGAACTCTCTGATGCAGAAGGCAGGGGTGATCTTACGGCGTTAGTCATATTCAATGTTTTCTTTTACAGTTTACGCTTTGTTTCATATCACACTACAAGCTGATGTGCAATCCTGTATTTGCCAAAAAAAGAAGAGTTGCTTTTCAGAACCACATGGTGATATTATTGCTAAGTATTAAGGAAGAGAGTTGTCTTAAAGGAAATACCTATACTGTAGCTTTTACGCCCAATAAATTTCGATTAAGATTGTATCATAACTTCTTGATATCATATTTTCTGCGGTATACTAACAATTAACTTTACTTATTTGAATCTAATGATTTAGGATATCAAAACTAACCAAATAGGATATAAGTATCGTTATCTTTTATAGACTCACCATATACATTTTCTCCTCAGATTCATTCATTTTATGGACTAAACATCTCTTGCGTCTATCCTTTTTTTTATTAAGCAATTGGCCGTAAATCTTATTATATGGTCATTAGAATACAACATAGTTCCTACCCGGCCAGTGCTGTTAGTAGGCAGTGTAGGGATAGGCTCTAACAGCATAATCCCCCAGGTATGGAAGACTGTGGGCACCAGGCTGACACCAAGCTCACCTGACGCCCACGACCACGCCTTCTGCAGCAGCCACAGGATGACACCCATAAATGATGTACACACTATGATCGCCATCCAGACCTCCCCTGTGGAATATGGAAATTCTATTCAGTGACTATTGAGTGTGAGATTAATGTTTGCTTATGTACAGTCAGAAACAAAAGTCCTATTGCCTCTCCTGCTGCTCTATGAGCTTCAAGATTCAGACTCGTGAATCCGAAGCATCCGTGGACAGAATAATGCGTCCGTTTCTACAGCTTTGTTATCACGAGTCTGAATCTCGTACCTTTAAAGTCATTACATAAAAATGTCTAAGTTTTGCTCGTTTGGATGGATCATTTTTATAAGATATGTCATCTGTCTGTTAATTGCATTAACTCCCTCCAGATATGCTAACTTTATTCCCAGATATAAATCTTGTACTAAGTGTTATTTCTTGACATAACCATAATCAAAGTCTTATGTGAGAGAAGAAATGTTGGCGATAAGATTTCACACTCTCTTTATGATCATTTTATGCATTAATTTTTTCCGGTGCCGCAGTTCCACAATAAAACAACTGGCTCCTCAAGTTCCTCGCAAGGAACCAGTTTGGGCGGGAGAATTATTTAAAAAAACCTTAAGATATGTTGTTTTCTAGATCAAAACACAATATGTTGTTCAAACAATCTTTACATCAAATTATATTTATACCCGAAGAATACACAACACCAGAAGATATCACACGACTCCTTATATCAGCCATGGCATTACCTTCAAAGGGTCTGGTGAGTGCCAGGTGGCGCGGGAAAGATGAGACTTTGCCTGATAGAATAACAAAAGGGTCATAATTGTAGACCCTGGAGTGGTCTACAACTCGGTTTCTTGTCTCTGTGAGCGTCAGGTCGAGGCAGAAGTCCGCTTTTTGGTGTTGTAGGACGCCAACGATCCCCGTCCAGTTGCCGTCGTCTAATGGAGTCCCCCACTTTTCATCTAAGGGCTGACGCAGGACGTACCTTGATGGGTTATGCAATACAATATATATATATATATATATATATATATATATATATTATTCAGGTTATTCAAATTTATTTACAACTATAGGCTTGGCCCATTTAGGATAATTATTCATAAGAGTCATCTCTAGCGACAGAAAACTATTAACGTAACCCTTATTATCAATTACCTTTACTTTTATTTATTATTTATTTTTTGCTAATAGAAGTGTGCGAGAAAACCAACTTACGTAAAGTTAAGACTACTGGCGATGATATGGAGCATTCGGGTGTTGAGGGAGTCTCGGGGAGCCACCGGGGTGCCCGGCTCTTTGTCCAACTCTATGTCTATGAATGGTAGGTATTGATTCACCACCAGTTGGAATGTGTGTCGGAAGAAGTTGTTCAGTCGCTCTGGAAATCAATTACGTGAAGGAATATGCGCAAAATCACTTGTTTATGTACAGTATATTACGTACCATTATTTTATCAACAAGGTAATTTACACATGGGATTATGATAATATAACTTAACTTAACTTTCAAAATCTTCTGACGTCAAGAATTACATCCCCTTCACATTTACCTAAATAGGCATGAGAACTTTATATTGTTATTGTTCTCAACAGTAGCATGATTATAAAATCTTCTTGAAATAAAAGTAAATAAGTAAAAGGAAAATTGTGTGGTCGACGCACCTGGGAAGAGGTTTACACTGTGCTGGAGGCCATAGGTCAGGTTACCCCGGTGGAGGAGTTGGACCTGAGCCTCACCCTTCTCACAGTACAAACACCGCCTGTACACCCACACCTGTTCATCGTCACCTCCTGTACACACAAGACAAAGAATAAAATAGAAATATAACTTCTGAAAGATTCTAAATATGTAATAATGGCTGAAATATTATCTGATGGAAAATACATATTCAAGATTTACTATTGCTTTTCTTTATTTAAAAACAATTACATACAGCTTAACTTCACAGATTACATTTACCTCATACTTGCTCTAAGCATTTCATTGTATGTACAACTTAGAAATATTTACATGAATATGAAAAAGTGGCAATCTATTTTCTTGTCTGTTGTTATGAAGCCGACGTAAGTGACTGTAAGTAAAATCTGCGATAGATAAATAGATAAATAAATAAATAAATAAAAAGCTGCGAAACCGACAGGACAGTTCACTGCTGGTTTCGTCTCAAGTTTCGAGCCACAGTCTCTTGACTGCCTGCTAATCGCATCAGAGTTTTCTTTACAATGAAAAAATAATGAAATTTTGCCTTTCTTGCATTCCTAATTTTATAATTGGTAATAAATCTATTAAACATATGCACTTTAATTTGTTGGGAGTCTTGCTTGATGATATTACCTCTGATGATGTCATTCTCCCTAGATCTCGTGTTGAGCGATAGTCTCTGGCCTCTGTGGAGGGGGAGGTCATGGAGGGCGAGGTAAAGGGTGTGAATAGTGTTGCGAAGACTGTGGTGAAGGAGGACGGTCTCCACTCCCTCCCTCTCACCCACCACCACCACAGGAATCTCTGGTCGTCGCCACACTTCACACCACTCCAGAAACCTGCGTCAAAATGTGTAAATTTCATTTACTGGACATGAATCACACACACACACACCTGCACCATACTCGACACCGGCTTCTACTACCAGCCGAGATCCCTCGTCCAAGTATTGCTGTTCGACACCACAACCTCATCCAGCCCATACGAGCATGTACTGATCGCTATAAGAATAACCCAGTCCTAACCATTGTAAAAATTATCAATAACTTATAATCAACCAGTGTGTTCACTGCCAGTCAATCTTACCTTTTTGCATTGTCACTATGTTGAAATGCCCTGTAGTTTGAGCTTCTCCCCACCTTGTTATTATATATCATATTTGTATCACTTATGTTTACTTGTATATTATTTGTCAATCAAAAGACCCATTCCCCAATTATGTAACTGTATATTTTCAGCCTTCCGGTTGCTATGCTCTTTCAATAAACTGTTAATTATTATTACTATTATTATAAAACACACAAACACACACACAAGCTAGTTTTAATCAACTACTTTCTTCATTATTTAATTTAGTTTCAATACATTTAAAATTACAAGGTGGGCCCAACTGTTGTGACAATGTAAGGAAAATTAATGTCATGTGAGATGAAGACTGACATCATTTAACCATCAATATTTACATGAAAAAAAGGTCTTTGTTGTTGTTGTCGAAGTGTATGATGAGGGCGCGGCAGGTGAGTGTAGCGTCCCCCCACAACCCGTGCAGAAGCTGGTCCCTGGCTAGCTGGTCCTTGAATCTTCGATCTCCGTTATGCCAGTCATTTACTGACTCGTTACTGACTACTTGTGTCAGTAAGAAAAGCCGCCACGCCTCCACCACCGTCACACTCTCTCGAGTTCTTCCAAACTGTCTGATAAAAAAATGATCGTAAGTCTCCTAGAGGAGCTCTAATGATCTTCGTATATCGCCTGTTAGATACTTTCGAGAGAAGAAATACAACTAAAGAGAAAACTTACGCAAGTCAGTTTTTGTGCTAGAAAAAAATAAGTATTTAAGAGAAGGAAATGAACTCGCTGATACATCATACACTGAAGGTACAATATTGATCCTCAGTCACTCAAACACAGCTCTAGACTTTTGACTCACCTGATCATCATGGAGAACACTGGGCTTTGTATTGTTGTGTCGACCAGCACCAAGTGGCACCCAGCCAGTTCCTGCTCTACCACCTGGCTCACCACCTCGCCCACCTGGTATACGAAGTCACCTTTTACTACAACCATTTGATTGATATGGTGGTCCATCATCACGCCATTATCGTTTCCAGAGTCGTCACCCACCACGCCTATGTGGTCCACAGGGCTACCAACACACTTCCTCACCATCAACAGCGCAATAAGTCCGAGCATATGTGAAGGTCTCGTCATATCTGCTGTATAAATGTGTTTAAAGATCTTGCAAATCCTTGGCCTTTTACGCGAAACGCAATGTTCTTTACGACGGGCAAAAATCTTCATGTTTCAGAAAACTTGTTTCTCCTGGAGTGTTAAGATAGAAACCAAAATCCAATGAAGGAAAATTTCTGAGTTTGTTGATACGAGTATTTGCATAGGCAACAGAAGGTTATCTCTGCCGTTAAATAAATATACTTTCTATAGGAAGATGGCTATTGATATTTAAAAGGCTGTAACTGACACTCACAGAGCATAGGGTAAATGCCACACTTCCAAGTCAACGGAGGTTGGAACGCTGAAGGAACGGTCACACTGTGCAAAATCCTAGTTTTAAATGGTCTGCCAATACGAGGTTTTGTGTTGACGTTGCCCTCTCGTTTCCACCGTGTTATCCACCTACATACTGTTGACAGGCTTTTACCAGTCTCTCTTGCAATGTTTCGACAAGACATTCCGTCCACCCACATACACACTAGCTTGGCCCGTTCACTCAAATCAGTGGGCTTGTTAGGGCGTCGATACTTCATAAATTTACTCTGTTTAGAAAAAAACTTTGTTCCTTATCGAAATCCTGAAAACAATATATGGATAGTGTTATTACAAACTAATGATGTAGGTAACGAGTCATATTTTTGCTTAATTTTGCACATAGAAACGATGTCCTTGGCCATTCGTGTATTAGATTACATTTGTCACAAAGTGGTAATGTATTTAATTAATAATATATAGAAGTAACTATAAGCATGACGCTTTTAGACCATGGTCAAGCAAACAATATAGCCTACTGTGAGGACAATCTTAGGTGATTTACAGTACAGCTAGTCAGGGTAGACAGTATAGGTCACTTGGTGGTGGTGCGCGGTGGACGAGAGCAATGATGAGAATTCCTCTTTTTCGATCCTTTTATTTGGTCGCTCACACACCCGCTAAATGTCAAGTGTTGCATATAATATGTGGCCACAGTCTTAGTTTATACACTGTAAAAACTGGAATATCAACTAGCCTATTTATCCATTATATATTTCCTTAGGAGTTTTTCTTAAAACCAAAAAAAAATCCTAATTCCAAGTTGTTTCCTCCTGCACTTCAGAAACTCACATCAGGTTTCTCCTTGTACAGTCGCCTACAAAATACTCTCGACACGTGTGATAGAACTACTGTACTCATTTAGATAATCATATCGTGTCATAATGTTTCAGTCTCCTATTCCGTGATCTAAAAAGCAAGGCACATCAAAGTCTTACATAAACGCATGATTTTTTACATTTATATATGCTTCAGTTGTCTGTGTTTTATCAGATTCTGCCAGACGTATCGCAAGAATTTTGTTGGCGAATATACATGTAAGCACATTCACAAACCAAAAATCAGGTCTTAACAGTACCCTATTTTATTTTGTTTAATCTATTTTTTATTGGTTATAAGTCTTGTACTCCTTACTCTGAGAATGTTCAAATCGGAAAATAAACGTCTATGGTCTGTAAATTACACTACTGATCACTGTCGGTGTTGGTGTGCGGATTAGTGGATGTCATGTTTATGACCTGACCTGATGTTTACAAAGCCTCTCTCGGTCCTTAGAATTCAGTTGCCTCTGAAGTGGTCTTGAATAAAGACGAAAGCTAAGGTGCTCCATTGTTTCGATTTTTTCTCTGTGATTGTGTATCGATTGTCCCATCGAGAGTGCGAGTGCGATGTCCAGAGGGACAGAGGGTGTCCACCATATTCAGGTCATAAGGAAGAGTGACGCGACCCCTCACCTGGTTACAAAATTTGTTAATCACAAAATTGTCCAGTTTGTATATGCCATTACTCAAATAAGAACAGAAGAACATAAGAATGGAGGAAACTGCAGCGAGCCTATTGGCCCATACTGGGCAGTCCCATTTACACCCAGCCTCTATTGCTCATATATCCATCCAACGTATGTTTACATAAACACATACAACATAAGAAAAAAAGGAGTCTGCAATGGCCAGTTGGCCTGTGCATGGCAGCTCCAGTCGAGAGTTACTACCACTCTCTATCATCCATGAATCCATCTAGCCTCCTTTTAAAACTCTCCAGCGTTCCACCACTTACTACAAAGTTGCTAAGCTTGTTCCACTCGTCCACCACCCTATTTGTGAACCAGTTCCTTCCTATCTCCCTCCTAAACCTAAACTTATCCAACTTAAATCCGTTGCTACGAGTCCTATCCTGCTCGGATATTATAAGAACTTTATCTATATCGCCTAAATTGATTCCTTTCACCCACTTAAATACTTCTATCATATCTCCTCGCACTCTTCGTCTTTCCAGGGAATGCAAGTTTACTTTCTTTAACCTATCTTGATATGGAAGGTTTCTAAGTCCCGGAATCATTTTCGTCATTCTTCGCTGCACGGACTTCAGTGAATTGATATCCATTCTATAAAAAGGGCACCAGAACTGAACCGCATAATCGAGGTGCGGCGTGACTAACACAAGATATATACCTGCGACAAGTGATCGTGGGCCCTTCGTGCCCGGTGGCGAGTCCGGTGGTACAGTTTACCAAGGCGTGAAAGTTTGAACGCTCGTGCTTGGCTATTGCCCAACCGCCGTCCGGCGGACAGAGTACAGCGACATCGTTTTCTAGCATAAATAAAATGGTTAATTAATGCCTTCCTAAAGAAACCATCGACATGGGATCAGGTTTGTTCCACTCTACGATTTTTTTTGCGATTTTTTTCACCAAGCTTGATGAAAAACGATTGTGCCGTTTCGGCTGCCCTAAACAGACAGACACACGGCTATTCCTATAGTATATTAGATAGGTGGTCGTGGTTGTTATAATCATGGTCGTGTTTGTTATAATCATAGTCGTGGTTGTTATATTCATGGTCGTGATTGTTATAATCATGGTCGTGGTTGTTATAATCATGGTCGTGGTTGTTATAATCATGGTCGTGGTTGTTATAATCATGGTCGTGGTTGTTATAATCATGGTCGTGGTTGTTATAATCATGGTTTGTTATAATCATGGTCGTGGTTGTTATAATCATTGTCGTGGTTGTTATATTCATGGTCGTGATTGTTATAATCATGGTTGTTATAATCATGGTCGTGGTTGTTATGATCATGGTAGTGGCTGTTATAATTATAGTCGTGGTTGTTATAATCATTGTCGTGTTTGTTATAATCATGGTTGTTGGTTATAATCATTGTCGTGGTTGTTATAATCATGGTCGTGGTTGTTATAATCATGGTCGTGGTTGTTATAATCATGGTCGTGGTTGTTATAATCATAGTCGTGGTTATAATCATGGTGGTGTTTGTTATAATTATCATGGTCGTGGTTGTTATAATCATATAATCATAGTCGTGGTTGTTATGGGTCGTGGTTGTTATAATCATGGTCGGTTGGTCGTGTGTTATAATCATGGTCGTGGTTGTTATAATCATGGTCGTGCTAGTTATAATTATAGGCGTGGTTGTTATAATCATGGTCGTGTTTGTTATAATCATTGTCGTGGTTGTTATAATCATGGTCGTGGTTGGTTATAATCATGGTCATGGTCGTGGTTGTTATAATCATGGTCGTGGTTGTTATAATCATGGTCGTGGTTGTTATAATCATGGTCGTGTTTGTTATGATCATGGTCGTGGTTGTTATAATCATAGTCGTGGTTGTTATAATCATGGTCGTGGTTATGATCATGGTCGTGGTTGTTATAATCATGGTCGTGGTCGTGATACTTACAGTATATAATATACTATAGGAAGGAATAGAATAAAGGTTAGAATAATTAGTTAAATAAATATTCGCCATAAGGAGAGGTTAAAAAAATTATGAATCGCCGATGATCATTCCGAAATAAATTATATTTTGAAGAGAAGTGACCTTGATTCTGGTTAGATTAGTCACCATCTGCTTAAGTCATCACCTGTGTTAAGTCATCATAGTCATCATCTACTTTTCTCAGGTTATATAATCTCCACAAACTTTCACTTAATTTAGGATGTCGCCGTTTGTTCTCTGGCACTTCAATTTAATTTTTAAATTACAATAGTTTATTCTTTGATGGAGGAAGCGGGATCCTAGTGCTGTCACTAGGTACCCCTGTACAATAACACCAGAAGCATCTGGCAAGTGTCACAAGTATATACAGCATAAATATTATAAAGGGGCTTACTAAAGCCTAAGGAAGGAAGGATATTCCTTTAACACATCATCAATATTATTTACATAATATCTGGCCAGTATGGGGAGGATCATGGTGTCTCCGTCAGGGGGTCGTGGAGTGGTGGTCCAGCAGGCGTCACGGAAGCGTTGTGTGTGGGCTCTGGCACTTTGTTAATTTTTGGCATATGCATCCAACTTCTATAATAATTATTGTTTAATGTTTCATAGCTGAATTAAATTCATTTCTCTCCACAGCTATTATCTTGATGTTTGTATTGGCAGTATTGTGTGAGGCTTTGTTGAACGGTAAACTCTGATATTCTAACTGGATAAAAAGTAAGACGGCAAGACATCATTTACACACCAAACATCAATTTACTTTAAGCTGTGTTACATTTTAAATAAATGTTTTCATACTAATGTCATGTGCAATTATTCTCCACTTTCTTTAATAATAACTGATCTACAATATATTATATAAGTCCATGTCGATACATGATACCCCCCAAAAAAATCTGGATTTAGTAATTGTGGATGAGGATCTCAATAAGAAAGGCACCGAAGGCGAGGCAACATCCAAGCAGCGACAGGTAGAAGGCTCCCTGAAGGTGGTCCAACGTCAGCACCACTTGACCGCTCTCCTGCAGAAAGATGAGGCAAGTATAATGCGTCCCCTGTATTGAGATCTTTTTTATCATCAACATCATGTCCCAGCAATAAGATGTGATGTATTGCTGCGACCATAATAGCCTGATGGATACCAAGACTTTGTCATGATTTAGTATAGTCATACACCATTAGGGTGTGTCATACGGAGGCGAATTTTTTTTTTTTTTAGTTTGAAAAATCGGCCCATGGTATTAATGATGTAGTTCTATGTGCAGAATCATGTGATATCTTCAGATTTGAAAAGTTTTCATTTTTTGCAAGGTAAATTTTAACTTGAAATCTTATGAAAATTCAGTATTCCCACCCTTTTACCAACACCACTAAATAGCTTATTTAAAGTAAAGTAAATGTATCAGGTTAATTTATTAGGATGAAAATGATCCAGAATAGTGAAACGAATGATCTTGACACATTTATTAAATTTAATATTCCTTTAGAAAACAAAATCATCAAATACAAAAACCGGTTTTACTACTACGACCCGGTGTTGCTGCACACCATAGAGAACATGTCTTTCTTGCTTCTGTTTCTACTCATCACCTCCCTGCTGACCACCTGAGCTCGGATGTAGCCTTCCCTCCTCTCCTGGCTGTACACGTGACTCCTGGCCCGCTCACTTGCTGTACACAACGCTCTATACTCTGGGTGTGCGAGGGCCAGGCAGGGACATGCATGGGGTTGTCCAGGAAAGCTCTGACTTGAACAGTGGTGAGGCTGCAGGTAAGAGGGGGCTCACTGCCAGCCTGGATGTTATCCAGATCTATGAGATCAGTGAGGGTCTTGGCACCTAGATTGACTTCAGGAGTCTTCTTGACCCTGAAGGAATCGTCACCAACTGATTCGTCATGCCCAGATCCTCTCATAAGTCTCATATCCAAGATCTTTTTGACTGCCACTCTTCTCTCCTCCTCATCCTTACTGCTGAACATTGTCTGCAGAACTGCCTCGGGATGAGCATACCAGGAAGATCTCCTCACAGTCTGCTCCACAGTCTGAACAACCTTCCTTGGCTGACTCCTCAGGAGCTCAAGCTGGAAGAGAACATGCCTCGGACCTTCGGAGAACGATGACTTGACCTTGGTGTTGAACCAATTTGGCAAGTAGACACTCACGATGAATTGGACAGTAAGTCTCAGGTTGTGAAGCTGGTTCCCTTTCAGTTTATGATGAGCGACCCAAATTCTGCAGAACCTGAGAGCCGTTGTGAGCCACCTAGAATGTGAGACTGGACCTATCTGCAGGTAAGCAAGTCTATCAGGCATGACCCCAGTCTTGATGGCACTGCAACTCATGTAACCATAGTACTGGTCAGTACTCAGGTCGTCAATGACAGTATGTGCAAGCGCAACGCGTGGAGGGCCAACTGTGATTTTTTCAAAGCTCGGATTTATTTCTAACTCAGTGGCAGAGTCCAGCATCTTGCCAAGAGGACCAGACCATCTGTTGTTTGAAAGAGTCTTGCCATCCAGCTCCTGGATCAGATGTCTGAGTGGCAACTCGTTGGTGTGGAGGTCACAAACAATCCAGACCAGCTTCCTCCCAATCTTCCGCTCTATCCACTGTATGACCCCCCTTGCCACCCTGTGTTCGTGTTGGTGCTGTCCCCTCCAATGGCCTGCAGGGTCTGGTCTACGTTCCTCTCTCTGAGCCAGTTCACAATGTTATCTGCCACTATCTCAGCTGGTTTCCTGATGTCATCTTTCTCTGGAGTGAAATGCCACAAATACTTCCCTCCTGGTTCACTGCAGCAGGAGTAGTGTTCCTCCTTCACCATGGCAGGGAACAACTTGTCAGAATCTCCAACTTTCATGAACACTTTAGTGTCATCCCTTCTCCCATCAAAGAACAAACAATTGATTCCATTTTCTCTTATCCCCTTATCAAACTCCTCTTCTAGGTTACTGACAAGTTTCTCCTGAGCTCTCCTTACTTTGTTATGATCTATCACCAGGTGAACATCATCAGGTGTTATCAAACCACCGTCAATCCAGGCAGCTGTTGCTATCTCTGCAGTTTCTCTGAGACCAGTGTGGTGTCGCATGCTGGCCAGAGCTATGCTCGGGATATCTTTCCTATTTCGAATCTTATGCCTGGAAGGTTTGGGATCATTATTTTCTGGGTTAGGGACAAAGTCACCATTCTCCTGGTCAGCACTCGGATCAGCCATGGGGAAGTCATTAAACTCTGAATCAGCTTGACTCCAATCATCGGCCTTTTTTACCTCACCCTGGGCCTTCTCAAGTCTCTTTTCCTCGGCAACTCTTCTCCTCTTCTGTCTCTCTGTGGCAGCCTCCTGTCTCTTGGACTCCGGAATATCTTGGCTAGAAATCATGAGAGCCCCTATACTGCCAGTCTTCTCTCTCTGTGCTTTGACAAATGCCAGTTTGATCACAGGAATCTTCAGTTCACGCTTGCAAATACAGAAGATGTGGGCCTCGGATTTACAGTCACGATCGCATCCAAACTCAGGACAGAGAACAATTGGGCACTTGCAAGTAATTATGTCAAATAACTGGTCCAGTTGCTTGGCAAAGCTGTCCTTAACTGCAAGTTTTCCTCTCCCAAGAGAGATATCTCTTGCCTTTTCCCAACTGGCTAGCAGTCTCTCACTAATCTTCTGACTTGTTATGACTGGAGGCTTGAACTGAGCGTTAGCCAGAGTGTACTGTGCCACGACAGCTTTGGTCATATCACTGGCAATGTCTTTGTTTGTGTAAGTTCTTTGGTTCTTTTCACTGATTTGCCTGATTAAAACACCGTATCTCAAAGCATCTCTCAATGTAGGCAACTCCGACTTCAGGAGCTCTCTCCCAGACCCAAGATAGTGACTGAGATGGCTGGATTTTTGGTTCCTCGTCCTGACACAAGCAGCCATCGCAAATATTATCAACTTATAAATGCATCAGAATATGAAACAGAAAAATATATTGTTACTTGGGTTGTTAAAGAATGAAGTCAGAAAGCAATGTTCACTATTTAATTGTAATGCGCTAATGCAGCTGTACGTTAGATTTTCGATAAATTTCACGCTAAAATTTACTTAACAAAAGGTTGCAAAATATTGAAACTGAAATTATTTTCTGTTTATATACACTAAAATCTACCAAAAAAGTGATGGGCCATTAGTTTTAGCTGATCTTCCCTCCTATGACACACCCTACTACACCATGACACTGTTGGAAGAGTTGATCAGTTGTAATAATCAAGACATAGTTAACAGTAAACTTAACTATACCGAGCAATACAAGTTACTTATGGAGCTACGTTATAACATTCCTTACCTCAGTGTACAGTGGCCGCTCCTTCCCTTCTTCTTCTGTGTTGTTCTGTTTAAACTCATTCTTTAGGACATCATCCAACCATAGGCTCAGGAGTCCAGCCTCGATCAGTCGTTGTTTCATCTTGCTGATCTGCTTCATAAATGGTGCACCTTGTCTGTGTGGTGATATATATATATATATATATATATATATATATATATATATATATATATATATCACATACGACTCGTAGTTAACCAGTTTAGTCACTCTATGACAAACCTATTTTAGCATTGTTAATATATTGAAATTCTCCTATGGATGACTTTCTCCCCTTCGTTTTATTATTATTATATCATGTTTGTACTATTTATGTTACGTGTATATTATATTTCAATCAAGTAACCATTCCCGAATTATGTAACCGATAATTATTTTTATTATTATTATTATAATCATTATCATTATTATTATTATTTAGTAGGTCTACAGGGATATCTTTTCAAATAATAAAAGTTAATGATAGTATCGTTATTCACTTTTGCTCTTCAATTAAAGAAATATTTATATGGAATAATACATACTTCAACTATAATTTGATGATGAATTGCCTCAGAAAGTATTAATTGAAAAAGGGAAATTTTGTCACAATTTACTTGCCTGAATCCCCAGACGTTGCCTCCAAAAATGGGATATTCGGTGGTGCCATATTGGTAAGGTGTATTACCGTACTTGTCGGTGTAGTGCCTAGCCACAAAAATCTGGATCCACGTCTTGAGGTAAAGGAAGGAGAACTCGCCAGCCAGTGTACGCTCCAGCCAATCTTCCGTCTCGAAAACCTGTTTGTGACCTCTTTAAATACTTTTATGAGTGTGTTCCAAATGCAGGTCCCTTACCGTAATAGTAACAGATGTTGAGTAATATATATATATATATATATATATATATATATATATATATATATATATATATATATATATATATATATATGATAAAATCACACAAAGGGAAACAACGGAGCACCTTAGCTTTCGTCTTTATTCAAGACATCTTCAGATGTCTTGAATAAAGACGAAAGCTAAGGTGCTCCGTTGTTTCCCTTTTCCCGTGTGATTTTATCAAGATTTATCTTATCCACGTTTTCATTGTGGATCTGCATGGATATATATATATATATATATATATATATATATATATATATATATATATATATATATATATATATATATATATATATATATATATATATATATATATATATATATATATATATATATATATAAGTAAATCACTGTAGGTGCGCGTGATCCAGGTATATGCTGATAACCACAAGGAAAAAGAAAACACGAAGTTCCCAAGCGCTTTCGTGTAATTCACATCTTCAGGGTGAGTACAGACTAAGGAGAAGTACAAAACAAGGTATATATATACAGAGGAGGGTGAGATCAGGTCCACAATGGTCAGGTATTAGGTAATGACCCTACTAATCTTTAAAAAGCACTACAACGGTCGGTAGTCAGGTCAGAGGGTAAGGTGACCCAACCTTCTCACCTGGTTACAAATCTTCTTAATTACAAAATTGTCCAGTTTGTACATAATATTACTCAAATTCATGTTGACTGCTTCGGTATGTTTAATGAGACTAGATTCTATAATGTTCCTACTGTCAATTGAATTACAAGGTAATATTGAGGAGGCATTATCCCAGTCAATCCAACGCTTGTTATCCCTCAAATGAACAAACAGAGCATTGGATTCCTGGCCTGGTATATATATCCACCTTGTTTTGTACTTCTCCTTAGTCTGTACTCACCCCTGAAGATGTGAATTACACGAAAGCGCTTGGGAACTTCGTGTTTTCTTCTTTTCTTGTGGTTATCAATATATATATATATATATATATATATATATATATATATATATATATATATATATATATATATATATATATATATATATATATATATATATATATATATATATATATATATATATATATGATGAAAAAACACGAAGTTACCAAACTTTTTCGTGTAATTCACATCCTCAGGGATGAGTACAGTCTGCACTCATCCCTGAAGATGTGTATTACATGAAAGCACTTGGGAGCTTCGTGTATTCTATTTTCCTATATTACTTAAAAATAAGACGAATGAGCAGGCTTTGTGTGAAATAAAACAAGGCCACCAGCTGTGTGTGTTCTTGTGTTTTTTTCTTCTTTTAACTGAGAGAGGTTTGGGTCCTCCAACTCTTTAAGTTTGCTCCAAACTCTCTGAGCTTGGCTGTGTGTACGTGTGTTCAGTGGTTCGATATTGTATATTTCGTGAAGTTCTTGTATTTTAGTGGTGTATGGTGCGAGTTGCTTTGATGCTCTATGGATAGCTTTGTTTTGTACTGATTGAAATTTAAGTTAACTGGCTCTGCTGATTGTGCTGAGTGGTATTGGTAGAGGAAACTGCAGCAGGCCTATTGGTTCATACTGGGCAGTCCCATTTACACCCGGCCCCTATTGCTCATATATCCATCCAACCTATGTTTGAAGTTATCCAGTAGGGGGCAGGGAAAAAACACTTTTATTTGAGTTGCAGGCTGCACTTTTCAGGCATCGTTTGTATGGCTGTAACAAACACCTGTGCAAAATTAATTTCATGCCATTTCATGCATACTTAACCTGCCGCATCGCGAACGACTTTTTGTCAACTTTTAGTGTATACCAAAAATTAGGTGTCATTTAATGTTTTCCAGGATAATGATAAATTTTACATGGGTGACATCGATTTAATTCACATGTTATTTTACAGGTACACCGTATAGAAAATCATTACAAGTTCATATTGAAATTCTTTTTTGTGCGGAACCTTGGCATCATTTTCCTAGACAATAATCTTTGCCTAATATATCCATCTCTCGATTCGTATCCTGTCACTTCAGTGCAAGCTTCAGTCATCACTTTTATGCCTCTCTCGACCGCCTGAGTGCTGTTTGGCCACTTGGGCACCACTAATGGTGTCTCAAGAATGTCATTAACCTGTAGATTTGACAGAGAAGCAATGTAAGGAGGCTCAGTCTTGAGTTCATTCCTCCAGTTAATCATGGAATGATAGTTTTTTGCTTGCCACTTTAGTTTCGGAGTCACCACCTTTCTCATGTTGACTACAGGAGGCACATCCTCATTCCCATCTCCATCTTTACCCTCCTCATCAGTATAGTTTAACAAATTCTCGTCAACAGCAGCATCAGAATCTTCCTCCTCCTCTTCAGATCTGCCAGTGTATTCTTCCTTTTGCTGATTCTTCTCTCTAATTTTTCTTATCATTGAGACAGCTTTTTCTCTAACAGTCATGTCCTCATCTGCACACATACCAAGAAGAAGTTGATCTGTGTGGGCGAAGTATGCATTTCTCTGGACAGCCTTCTTCACTATCGTCTCCTCCTCACTATTCAGGTGTTTCATATATAGCAGGGACTGGAATACGTTCCTTGAGCCGTGTGTTACGTAAGGGTGTATCTTGATGTAAAACCACATTGGAGCACTGAACTTTATTATTGTAATGACAATTCTTTTCAACTCATGGCTGGGTCTTGATGTTGCTACATACAGCCTGAGGATTCTACTCCATAAGGTGTTCCACCTTGACACACAGGGAGGACCTGGCTCAATAGCAGCCAAGTCATCTTCAACAACACCTGTGATAACTCCTTTACAAATCCTATACAGGTATTTCTGATCCCAGGACAGATCTTTCTCCACTTCATCATTAAACACAGGGAAATCAGGGAAACTGACTGGCTGGAAGGCGACAACTGGAAGCTCAGACAAAGACTCCTTGATCTGCTTTCCAATGGGACCACGCCAATGCTCAGGACCACTTGGTTTACCATCATAGTGATAAAAAACTGCGCGGAAAGGCAGCTCATTTCCGTGAAGCTGACATATGAAATAATGGAGCGGGTGACCAAGTAACATTTCAAGATGATGAATGACTCCATTTTCTGATCCTACATTTACATTGGTTCCATCACAACCAATACACACAATGGGCTGCTGGGTTAGATTTTTCTCCACCAGAAACTGGTGAATAGTTTTGGCAATCTGCTTTCCGTGTCCAGTCTTGGGAGTCACATGTGTGAGATATTCATTGCCAGGCTCAACCATGATGACATAATGATCTTTCACCATCATCCTCGAACTCCATTTCTCGGTCTTCTCATCCTTTATCATCACACGAGTGGCGGTCTTCCCTACATTACAGTACAGTAACACAACATTGAGAAATGAAATGAGAAAAGGCTGATAATCAATATAGACATAGCACCATACTCATCTGCAACAAGACAACTTAAATGAAATAAGAGATATGAAAAAAAAGTTGATAAACACTGAACAGAACATTGCACCGCCACAGCAGCTGTTTGGCTAGTACTGTAGGTAAATTTAAAAATTTCAGTAGAAAATGCGGCAGATTAAACCTCGACATATCAGCTTCAAATTTGGCATGGAGTCTTAGATATGTATAAGGAACAATGCCTGAAGAGTGCAGCTTTGAGCAAAATTTCACTGCCCCCTAATATCCAGCGTATTCGAGTTAATGATGATATTTGTTAACTTGTTCCAGTCGTCCACTACTCTATTTTCAAACCAATGATTACCTATTTCGTGCCTAAATCTAAATTTGTCTAATTTAAAACCACTGTTACAAGTTCGTTCCTGGTTGGGTAGTTTGAGTACCTTTGAAATGTCCCCTTTGTTTAGCCTTGACTTCCATTTATACACCTCGATCATGTCGCCCCTCACTCTACGTCTCTCGAGGAAGTGCAAATGAAGATGCTTTAACCTGTCTCTGCACTTAAGGTTCCTAATGCCAGGGATTAGTCTTGCCATTCTCCTGTGAATTCTTTCCAAGGATTCTATATCCATTCTGTAATACGGTGACCAGAATTGAACTGCGTAATCCAAATGAGGTCTCACAAGCTCAATATATAGATTTAAGATGACCTCGCTAGTCTTGTAACTAACACTCCTTTGTATGAACCCAAGTACTTTATTAGCTTTGTTTCGAGCAAATCCACATTGTTTACTTGGATTAAGATTCCTACTTATCATTACTCCTAAATCTCTCTCGCAGTCGGATTTCTCAATAACATCATTGTTCATCTGGTATCTGGTTTCCCTGTTTACATCTCCTATACTGAGTACTTTACATTTGTCCACATTGAATTTCATCTGCCATTTTTCAGACCATTAAAATAATTTGTTTCGATCTTCCTGTAATTTTGCGGAGTACTCGTCAGATTAAATTACACGTCCTATTTTAGTGTCATCAGCAAATTTACTTATGTTGCTCTCTACGCCGATATCTACGTCGTTTATGTACATAATAAATAATAATGGTCCAAGTACTGAGCCTTGCAGAACTCCACTAGTGACGTTGCTCCAATGGGATTTAGTGCCGTTAATGCTCACTAGCTGTTTCCTGTCCTGTAACCACGCCTTAATCCATTTTAGAATATCACCTTTAATGCCATGAGTAACGATGTTAGTAAGCAAATAGACAAACTAAAGCCTAAGAAGTCACCTGGTCCCGATGAGATATTTGCCAGAGTATTAAAGGAATGTAAGGAAGAGCTTAGTATGCCCTTAGCAAAGTTGTTTAACATGTCCTTAAAAACAGGTGTAGTACCAGAATCCTGGAGGATAGCGAATGTAATACCGATTTTCAAGAAGGGGGCTAGATCACTATCCTCTAACTACTGCCCAATCAGTCTAACATCAATAGTAGGCAAATTACTGGAAGCAATCATTTCAAACTCTATTCGAAATCACCTGGAGAAGCACAGACTGATCAATGATTCCCAGCATGGCTTCACAAGCGGACGTTCTTGTCTAACTAATCTATTAACATTCTTTTCATCAGTTTTCGAATCGGTGGACGAGGGGCACAATTATGATGTGGTATATCTCGACTTTAGCAAAGCCTTCGACAGAGTCCCCCACGAACGACTAATTAGAAAGGTAGAAGCTCATGGCATCAAAGGTAACATCCTTAAATTGATTAGGGCGTGGTTACAGGACAGGAAACAGTGAGTGAGCATTAACGGCACTAAGTCCCATTGGAGCAACGTCACAAGTGGAGTTCCCCAAGGCTCATTACTTGGACCATTATTATTTATTATATACATAAACGACATAGATATCGGCATAGACAGCAACATAAGTAAATTTGCTGATGACACTAAAATAGGACGTGTTATTAAATCTGACGAGAACTCAGCAAAACTACAGGAAGATCTAAACAAATTTTTCGAATGGTCTGAAAAATGGCAGATGAAATTCAACGTGGACAAATGTAAAGTACTCAGTATAGGAGATGTAAACAGGGAAACCAGATACCAAATGAACAACGATGCCATAGAGAAATCAGACTGCGAGAGAGATTTAGGAGTAATGATAAGTAGGAACCTTAAGCCAAGTAAACAATGTGTTTTTGCTCGTAACAAGGCTAAGAAAGTACTTGGGTTCATACAAAGGAGTGTTAGTTACAAGACTAGTGAGGTCATCCTAAAACTGTATCTTGCTCTAGTGAGACCTCACCTGGATTACGCAGTTCAGTTCTGGTCACCGTATTACAGAATGGATATAGAATCATTGGAAAGAATTCAGAGGAGAATGACAAGACTAATCCCGGGCATTAGGAACCTTGAGTATAGAGACAGGTTAAAACATCTTAATTTGCCCTCCCTCGAGAGACGTAGAACAAGGGGCGACCTGATAGAGGTGTATAAGTGGAAGTCAGGGCTAAACAAAGGGGACATTGCAAAGGTACTCAAACTATCCAACCAGGAGCGAACTCGTAACAATGATTTTAAATTGGACAAATTTAGATTTAGGCGTGAAATAGGTAAACACTGGTTTGGAAACAGAGTAGTGGATGAATGGAACAAGTTACCAAATATCATCATTAACTCGAATATGCTGAATAGCTTCAAACATAGGTTGGATGCTTATATGAGCAATAGGGGTTGGGTGTAAATGGGACTGCCCAGTATGGGCCAATAGGCCCGCTGCAGTTTCCTCCATTCTTATGTTCTTATGTTAATCTTTTCGTGTTTTAGTTTGACACATTTTATAGAATTCCTTGGGGTTTAACTTCGCCTCCCTTGCTATCTTCAGCTCATTATTTCTCTTGGCTTTTCTTATCTCGGTCTTAACCCTACCGGCCAATACCTTATAGTAATCTCAGAGGTAAACTTCATGATTTATTTTCCTACCTATAGCCTTCCTTTGTCCAATAATGTTATTTAAATAATTATTTATCCAGTTAGGGTCATTGTTGTTTGATCTGAGTTTTCTGTATGGTATGTTCTGCCTTTGTGCATTAAGTAATTCATTATTTAAATTGCCGAGGAACTGGCAACCTCAGTTCTCGTTATCAGGTCAATCTCAACCTTCAGGTCTCAGGGTATGGTGAGGTCGCCGTCTGTGGGTACATTGAGTGAGGTCACCTCATGTGAGGTCATGTAGTTCACCCCCAAATGGTATACCCCTCTTTCAGCTGCCTCTTCAAACTATCAAAGTTAGCCCTTTTGAAATCTGGGACTTTAGTGGAATTTTACTTACGGCTGTCCTGAAATTCTAATTGGAATCTAATTTCTGTGTGACCGCTGTTTGCAAGTTCGTTCCCTACCTCGACATTAGTAATGAGATTTTCTCTGTTCGACATAAGTAAATCGAGTTGATGACGACTATATTAAATTTAAATATACAAAAATTAATATATGAATGTGGATGACCAAAAATCCTAGAGGAGCAAGGATAGGTATAAGAAGACATACCTATCACTGATATACTCATTCCCTCCCTTTAATTTCTTATAAATTCCTTTCTTTATTTCTATGTCATGTTTAAGATTTTGGTCATCCACCTTGGCTCATTCTTATTTGACCTAATTTTTCTGTAGTGTATATTTTGTTCCTGTGCTTTACATAGTATTGTGTGGGAGATGGTGCACAGATCCGTATTGATAGATGGGACGTGTGTATGTGTGTGTGTGTGTGTGTGTGTGTGTGTGTGTGTGTGTTTGTGTGTGTACTTGGAAGGAAAGAACTTAAACTCATATTTTCATATAAATGTATGTGACAGCATCAACGTAAGGTACTTCGTGTTCACTAACCTCCATTTTTTTATATAATTCTAGAACATCAGGGTCAGTACTTCCGTTGAAGTAGAGGAAATTAGTTCCTGCAAATTCATAAGAACCCCAAGACCAGCCATCTCGGTCTAGGAGATCCTGGAAGCTGTTAATGGGCGGGTACTTGCCCTGGACGGAGAGGTGGGCGATGAGGGAGGAGCGGTAGCCTGTGGTGACGATCACACACACCAGGAGCCACCACCCTATCAACACCTGTACCAGGATTTACCACACACTATAAACATCACTCACACAATAATGATCCATCACTTTACCGCAATAACTCTCTGTCGATAAATCTACCTAATGTTTTATTTTGTTAGTTGAAATAACACTTAATGGATAACTCCAGAGGAGGACTTTTAAATACACCCATAGGTGGTCTAGACAAATATAAATTACGTATTTTCATGCCAAGAAAATTCATGAAAGGTTTAAATAATTATTTTATTTAGAATTGATATGTGTATGAAATAAAGAAATAGGGCTGATTTATTAAATAATTTTATAACACCATCCTATGCCTGTCCTCCTTGGCCGTGTTATTTCTTCAGATATCTAAGCATCTCCTGTTACCAATTCTTTTTTTATCAAACAAATTATTATAAATCTTATTTTATGGTCATTAGCATATAACATAGTTCCTACCCGGCCAGTGCTGTTAGTAGGCAGTGTAGGGATAGGCGCTAACAGCATAATCCCCCAGGTATGGAAGACTGTGGGCACCAGGCTGACACCGAGCTCACCTGACGCCCACGACCACGCCTTCTGCAGCAGCCACAGGATGAGGCCCATAAATGATGTACACACTAAGAAAGACATCCAGACCTCCCCTGTGGAATATGGCGATTCTATTCAATGACGTCTGAGGAGAAAATAATGTTTCCTTGCGTACACTTATTCTACCTTCACAGAAAAAATAAGAGCTGTAATTGCACAAATTATTCATATCAAGATGATGAGCTTTATTTAGGAAATTGAACGCTAGAGATTGTATTGGTAACATTGGACATATAAAGTATGGTAGGTAGTCTGACAAAGTTGATATATAACTATGTTCTTAAGATTCTCAGAGGACTATGCTCAGATTATCTTACAACAAGCTTTGAAAGGATTTGGGACATGAACTGGTAAAACATTAAGGCAAGTAAAATACGCTTTCGTCTAGACAGCAGAGGTCCAACATGCATAGCCGATTAAGCTATAAGAAACTAAATGTTATATTTTACAAATGGGTCATCAATTTGGATATTCTAGGTGGAATGTCGTATTTGTGATATACTGTAGATCCACAAACTTATGTGACTATTTTTGTGGATTTATTGTCACTCATTAGCCCTCGTCTAAGACAAGATCCCTCCTGCTAAAATGGCTGTGATGACTTTGTTGTTTTCCTTGGTCGAGTCGCACATTATCATCTATGTTACTATACGGTGCATACTTGCAGTGTTTATGTTTATTGGATACCAATAATGCCTATATGCAATGCTAAATCAATGCAAATCTTATGCCGATATTACTGAACAAATATCTATCTATCTATCTATCTATCTATCTGTCTGTCTGTCTGTCTCTCTATCTATCTATCTATCTATCTATCTATCTATCTCTATATCTATGTACATCATTATCTAAAATTTCATAATATTTTTTGGTTTAGACAGAGGAAATACTGTACACACACACACACACCAAATCGTTAGGTTACGTGGTATCGTTTGATCAATTTCATAAGATTCTAATTTCCTCCAGATCTGTTAACATAAATTCGTTATTTAAAAAATAATCAATCGACCATTTGGGGGAGAAAAGAAACATTTTAATTACTGAGAAACCCCAAAAAGTCGACTGACTCCTGCAGAGTTTTGAGGACGTTCCACCTCGCTTGTAACCAATTTGGGTGACAAAATTATAAACATCTTCAGATATGTTGTTTCTAGACCAGGCTACCGTATAGATTAATGCGACCCTCCCATTAAAGACTACTGGTGATAATGTGTTCAAAGCAGTTTTGCAACAATTTACATTTACTTCAAGGCAAAAATTGGTGTCCTATCATCAGTCATTTATAATAACTATTTCATAATCACACGATAGGACTCGTAACAACGGTTTTAAGTTGGATAAGTTTAGGTTTAGGAGGGAGATAGGAAGGAACTGGTTCACAAATAGGGTGGTAGGCGAGTGGAATAAGCTTAGCAACTTTGTAGTAAATGCTGGAACGCAGGAAAGTTTTAAAAGGAGGCTAGATAGATTCATGGATGATAGAGTGGTAGTAACTCTCGACAGGAGCTGCCATGCACAGGCCAACAGCCTATTGCAGACTCCTTATTTTCTCATGTACGAATGTTAAACTCAATGTTACATCACCACTGCAGGTCACAAGACTTCTTATATCACAGTGAGGTACAACAGTTAACTATCAGACATGATAGTAATCAACTCCAGGACCAACTAACGATGGAAAGAATATATTATTACCTTCAAAAGGTCTGGTGAGAGACAGGTGCCGCGGTAGAGATGAGGGCTTAGGCGACAAAATAACATAAGGATCATTTTGGTAGACCCTGGAGTAGTCCATGACGGTGCTTCTTGACTCTGAGAGCGTCACATCCAGGGAGAAGTCCGCTTTTTGGTGCTGCAAGTCGCCCACGATCCCTGTCCAGTTGCCGTCGTCTGCTGGAGTCCCCCACTTCTTATCCAGGGGCTGACGCAAGATGTACCTTAATGGGTCATGCAATATATGTATATATATATATATATATATATATATATATATATATATATATATATATATATATATATATATATATATATATATATATATATATATATATATATATATATATATATATATAAGAAAGTCTAGTTCTATGCATGT